AGCTCCAGTGTGGAACGCGGCCGGCCCACTCTGTCTTCTCTTGGTAAATGGGAGATGGGAAAATAAAACAGAGAGGGGGAATAGATAGAAGCAGGGGAAGAGGGAAAAAACAGACAGTGGGAGAATAGAGAGAGACACAGGGGGAGGGGAAGGAAAGAGACAGAGGGGGAGAGAAAGTGACACAGGGAAAGGAGGGCGAAAGAGACAGAGGGGGAAGAGTGAGACACAGGGAGAGAAAGAGGGAGAATAGAGAGATGGTGGAGGGGGGAGAAAGAGACAGAGGGGAAGAGAGATGTGGGGTAGAGAGAGACACAGGGAAAGGGGGGAGAAAGATACAGTGAAGGAGAGACACAGGGAGAAAGGAGAGAGACACACAAGGGGAGATAGAGGCAGAGGGAGAAGAGAGACTGGGAAGGAGAGAGGAGACATGGACACAGAGGAGCAGTGAAGGGGAGAGAGAAACATACAGAGGGACTGAGGGGAGACAAAAAGGCACACAGAGGGGCTGTATATATCACTGGTGGATCCCCCCCGGCCGATCTCTCTCCCAGGTCTGCAGGCACCGTGCGGGCAGCCGGCAGGGGAGGGAGGAATAGAGGACTCAGGACCTCAGCCTGCAGCTCCTCTGGGTCCTTCTCACATGAGCAAAGAGTGTTGCTGCAGTTACAACAGCAACGCTCCGGCTCTCGCGAGAGTGAACTCTAGCCCTGGAGCTACAGGCTAGAGTTCACTCTCAACACTGCGACCACCAGGGATTCCTGGTGGTCACGGTAGTGAGAGTGAACTCTAGCCCCATACACACACTACCCCCACACACACCATACACACACACTGCCCCCACACACACCATACACATTCACACACTGTCCCCCCCACACACACACTGCCCCCATACACACACACACTGCCCCCACTCACACCATACACATTTACACACATTGCCTCTCACACACACATACACTGCCCACCCATACACACACAGACCCCCATACACAGACCCCCATACTAACATTGCCCTACACAGCCCCCCATACACACATTGCCCCACACACCCTACACATTCACACACTACACCCCTCCCCCACACACACTTAACCTTTCACACAAACTGCACCCGTCACACATTGCACCACTGCTCCTATACCCTACTACAGCCCCATATCCCAGCAGACCCCAGGTAAGTTTTCAAACTGTTCTTAAACGGTCTGACTACTTACTCTGGGAAGGGGTCCGGCCCTCCTGGCACCATAACCACTACACAGAGCAGCAGTGGTTATTGTGCATTGATTATTTCTTTAAATAATCTACAAGTGCCCCAGTAGCCAGCCAGCCCACAGGCCAGCCAGCCTGCCCGCCCTCAGGTCACCAGCCAGCCCACAGGCCAACCAGGCCACCAGCCAGCCAGCCCACAGGCCAGCCAGGCCAGCAGCCAGACCACAGGCCACCAGTTAGCCAGCCCACAGGTCAGCCAGGCCAGCAGCCAGCCACAGGCCAGTAGCCAGCCCACAGACCTACAGCAAGCCCACAGCCTGCCAGTCATAGCCAGCAAGCCACAGCCTGCCAGCCGCAGCCAGCAAGCCACAGCCTGCCGGCAGTAGCCAGCAAGCCCACAGCCTGCCAGGAAGCCACAGCCTGCCAGCTGCAGCCAGCAAGCCGACAGCCTTCCAGCAAGCCCAAGGTAAGAGGAGCCAACTTGGCGTAGGTATCAGCGAGCTATGTTGTGTTGCTATATTGTGAATAGGAACCAGAGTGTTGGAGAGACCCCCCCTCCAGGTCCATTGTAGTCTCTAATGGGGCCTGGAGGAGATTCTTTCTAACACACTCTCTAAAGGACACTGAGATAGCCTCTGCTAGAAAGACCTCCCCTCCATGGCCCATTAGCCCTCAATTGTAGTCTCTACTGGGGCCTGGAGGTGACTGTTTCCAGCAGAGGCTATCTAATAGACGCTGAGATGGCCTCTGTTAGAAAGACCCTCTTCCAAGCCTATTAGACTCCATTGTAGTCTCTAATGGGGCCTGGAGGAGATTCTTTCTAAGACACTATCTAAAGGACACTGACTGGGACGGAATATCAGTTCCCGGGGAATCCCAGATTTGTAATAGTTTTTACACAGGCACCGGTGGGTTAGTCACCTGCAGGTTGTTGCACTTGTGTTCACTGTGTTTCAGAGCACATGCCTCTACTAGAAAGACCCCCCCTCCATGGCCCATTAGCCTTCAATTGTAGTCTCTACTGGGGCCTAGAGGCGACTGTTTCTAACGGAGGCTCTCTAATGGACGCTGAGATGGCCTCTGCTAGAAAAACCCCCTTCCAAGCCTATTAGACTCCATTGTAGTCTCTAATGGGGCCTGGAGGGGATTCTTTCTAACACACTCTCTAAAGGACACTAAGATAGCCTCTGCTAGAAAGACCCCCCTCCATGGCCCATTATCCCTCAATTGTAGTCTCTACTGGGACCTCGAGGGGATTATTGCACTTTTGTTCCTTGTGTCTAAAGATTGTGTAGGGTGTGACTGGAGGTGGGACAAGGGTGGGGCTTGCTGCGGAGCATGGGTGGGGCCTGTAAGGGGACCCTTGATTTATTTATATTGGCAAGACCACAAGAGCGTTGCATATTCCATTAGAGGAACACATTAGGCATATCATAAAAGGGTTAGAGAATCACAGGGTACCAGTGAACTACTAACAATGTCACTATTATATTTGGTCATAACATTTGCATTGTATTTACACACTGTTATCAGCGCCGGTATACTATTTTCTTTTTGATTCCCCTCTGGGACTAGCCACTCAAGAACCTATATTCCCCTCAGCATCCCAACGTGTAATCTACCGATGGGCATAAAAATTCCAATTGTTATTAACCCAGCATATGGCCAGCAATACCTGAGTTTGTACTAGCGTGCGGTATTTATAGGGATGTTGTCTGTTCAGTATATCCAATTGTAGAGAGGAGTTTGATTTGTACCTACACAAGCTGGTGGACTTGGGGGCTAAAACATGTGGCAGGCGTCAGGACACCAGCTTGTGTCATTTGCTCCACAACCTCTCGCACCTCCTAATCTATGCCCTAGTATCCCAGAGGTTGTCCTAGCCTTCTCACCCAGGTATAACATAAGAATACGAGGACATATTCTAGCATAAACAGGGACGGAATATCAGTTCCCGGGGAATCCCAGATTTGTAATAGTTTTTACACAGGCACCGGTGGGTTAGTCACCTGCAGGTTGTTGCACTTGTGTTCACTGTGTTTCAGAGCACATGCCAAACTAGAAGCCCAAATAAATGCCCCCTTTATTGACCTGTAGTCAATAAAGGTGACCTTACTAACAAAATTATTACATAATCACCATTCACCACATTTAGTTGAATTTTTATGGTAGGGTTTTACACGGGCATTATCTACATGCCATCTCGCATAGTATAATGTAAACTTACAGACAACCTTAACTAATCCTGCAGCAATAGATGCCCTTATTAAACAAGAGCTGGACCAAGGTTTCCTACTGGGCTCTTTTCGTTCCCCACCTTTCCTGGTATAAAGGACCAATTCAATAGGGGTGGTCTTGGGTACCAGTCCTCCAAACAAAGGTTTCTTATCGACCTCTCTTCTCTCCACTCTACAACAACACCTAGAATTAAGGCCTAATCCCATCAGAGGAATTTGCCTTTCTATATGCCACAATCAACAATCACCTTCGACTTACAAGGGTGGCAAGAATTCCTCTTACAGGGGGATGGGAAGGGTAAGTTCATCCAATTTGTAGTACGATTATTCCCTCACAATTTGGACAGACGTTGCTGCTTCGACAGGGTTCGCCACAATTTTTGGCGACCAGGGGTTCTGGGACAGTTGGCAAGACGATGTTGAGAACTTTCCAGGATTTACTACCATTAAAGCCTTAATTTGAACTTTCAAAACAATGTAGGTACAGAATCCAAGTGAGTGTCCTAACAGTAATAGATACTCTAACACCTAAAGTGGGTTCCCCTTAAACCTCACAAACAATAGAAATATAAACACATACATGGTGGAGTATCATTCGTATAAATCTGTGAACAGTTCTTGGATAGGTACAATCCTAAAATGAGATACAAAAGAGCAAACAATAGTGCAATATTGTCTGTAATTGATACTGGAGTGCAGAAAATATGAAGAAATACACCCACAAGTGTAGAGCCAATATATGTTAGGCTCAAACTTCCAGCTCTGCAGGATTTTTAGGGTCCCACTCCCTCCTCTGTGTGTTGGGATAATCCCCACTCTTTGATTGTAGTCACAGGTATCAGTATAGGTATAAAGTGCTTTATTGGTAATAAAGTGCACAAAAAGTGAGTATAATAAAATCAAATAAAATAAAGACTTTACAGTTAAAATGATAGGTCCTTTATGGGGTGGCTGTAAGTCCTTGATTCTTTAAGCAAATGCGTTTCGCCTCTCTCGGAGGCTTCCTCAGTTGTTGCTGGTCTGTTCCGTGTGTTGCTCTTCTTTTTAAATGGTTGATAATTGGCGGTTGCAGGTGTCTTCCATTTGCTATTCACTTCCGGTTCCGGTTCCGGTTTATTCGTTCCATTGTCGGAACGCATCGTCTACTGCCTTCGGCGCACATCCTTCCCCTCTATGCTGGAACGCATCCATGCATTCCACGATGTCCATTTCCTGTTTCCCGATCTCAGCTTGTGTGTTCCCCTATGTGGAATGCATAAATGCGATGCACCGTTCGAATATGTCTATATTTGTCCATTATATCCATACTAGTCCATTATGTCCCTCGGCAATGGGTACAATAAGGGGATGGGAGGGGAAGAGGAAAACAGAGAAACTGAGAAAAGGGTCAGGAGACCTAGTATATTTAAAAAAAATAATTATACACTTAGCGATATAAATTTTGGTGTGACATTTTTTAAAGTAGATTAAAAAAATTAAATGAGATAAACTTAAAACAGAAATGTAAAAATACTTATATATTCATATATGAGATACTGATGGTATATAGGGCATAGGTATTTAAAAATGACAGACTTTGAAGTCAGAGTTTAGACCATATGGGGTTAAAGTCTTAAAATTTAATATAAATCTCATTTCCTCTTTCCCTAGTTTTTTTATATAGTCTCCTCCCCTACAATATTTTTTCACTTCTTTTATTGCACAAAAGAAAAGGTTAAAACAATAAAAAATGACTTGCCAAAGTTTGTGGCTATCCAGGACTGGATTATGCCACCCACTAAATGGAAAGTCACACCCTAAATGACACTCCAGTAGTGTCAAAGGGCATAACCTTAGTTAATTGAATATTAAACAACAAACTTCCTGTTACTGGTTGCTGAGACCAGAAACAAGAATGAACTGGAAAATCAAAAGGCAAATAAATAAATATAATCAATGAAAAAATATAGATCATGGAAATCTATATAGTGTTCATATATGGAACTAGAGTGAATTAACATAGCCTAATGGCTATTAACCTGTCTGAAAAGGACTCTTAGGCATTAATTACTGTATAGACTCTTGACTTTAATATATTCAACTAGAATTGTCCATGTCTAAAACATATGCATGATATTCAAAGAGCCTTATAATAAACTCCTGTGGTCTAAAGGGACAATACATAAAATCAAAAAAAGGCTTGATTGTAGCTAAAGAGATAGTTAAACTACTAAGTAGTAAAAAGGTAAATAGGGTCAAAGTGATCCCTCTAGTAATTGTATCCAGTTACTGCTACTACAAGAAAGCCTGTGTGGAGTACAGATAGATAAGCAATAGAAGTGAAACACTTGCCAGAAAAAATCGTAACTTTATGAATAGGATATATATCATAATCCAACTTGTTAGCTTACTGACTAAATGCTTATGGGTATACAGTCTTCTATCGCAGAAGGGTTATAGAATATCCATAATCCATCCCAAGGCGAAAAGCCATCAAAAAATAATACTAATAATAGTAATAATCCCAATAGACAACAAACATAGGAGTGACAGGAGAAAAAGGAAAATCAAAGTGTTAGGATAAAATCGTGCTAATGTGCAGAACCATACTTAGAGCGTTGGTTACCTGCACATGGTGATACAGTGCCCTATAAGTGAAGAAAAGTGAAAAAGTGAAGGAAAAGATCCCTCAACCCGATGCGCGTTTCGGTGCTATAGTAGTGCACCTTCGTCAGGGGTATTGGGATTATTGGGATATTGGGATTATTACTATTATTAGTATTATTTTTTGATGGCTTTTCACCTTGGGATGGATTATGGATATTCTATAATCCTTCTGCGATAGAAGACTGTATACCCATAAGCATTTAGTCAGTAAACTAACAAGTTGGATTATGATATATATCCTATTCATATAGTTACGATTTTTTCTGGCAAGTGTTTCACTTCTATTGCTTATCTATCTGTACTCCACACAGGCTTTCTTGTAGTAGCAGTAACTGGATACAATTACTAGAGGGATCGCTTTGACCCTATTTACCTTTTTACTACTTAGTAGTTTAACTATCTCTTTAGCTACAATCAAGCCTTTTTTGATTTTATGTATTGTCCCTTTAGACCACAGGAGTTTATTATAAGGCTCTTTGAATATCATGCATATGTTTTAGACATGGACAATTCTAGTTGAATATATTAAAGTCAAGAGTCTAAACAGTAATTAATGCCTAAGAGTCCTTTTCAGACAGGTTAATAGCCATTAGGCTATGTTAATTCACTCTAGTTCCATATATGAACACTATATAGATTTCCATGATCTATATTTTTGTCATTGATTATATTTATTTATTTATTTGCCTTTTGATTTTCCAGTTAATTCTTGTTTCTGGTCTCAGCAACCAGTAACAGGAAGTTTGTTGTTTAATACAAAAGAAAAGGTTCTCTGGGTTTTGGTTATGTGTCTATTTAAAATGTAGGGAAACATTATGCGTTTCCACTCCATTCTTTATATTTCTCATATGCTCTGCAATTCTGACAATGACCAATCACCTATAAGGCTAAGTCTCACTCATCACACCAACAATATCCAGTTTCCGGATATAGAAGTGTACCGCACAGGCAATACAATCCAATATACGCTCTTTAAGAAACCAACAGGATGCAATACTCTCTTACATGCCAACATTTTCCATCCTCCAGCCCTCAAGAAATCTTTACCGATTTCACAGTTTCTCAGGGTTTTACGTAACAACTCTAATTCAGAAAAAGTGGAGGCTCAATTAAGAGAAATGGAACGATCTTTTCTTGAAAGAGGATATACCAAACAAATTTTACATCAAGCACGCTTAAGAGCACATGAGGTTTTTATATCCACTACTCAAAAGCAAAAGAAGACATGTCAGGATACTTTAAGAATCACGATACCTTTATTGTATAATACATCAAGCTTTGAAATATCTGCTTCCATTAAAAAACGACATACCCAGTCAATATGAAAAGAAAAAAGCCATTACTAAAAAGATGTTTCCGTTGTCCAGCTTGTGTC